GTGGCCACGTCCCAACTTCACCTCCCCTTCACCTTCCACGTCGTCGCGCCCGACGTGGCTCGCCTTGACCAGGCTTTGTTGAGTCTGCAGTACTTGATGCATGCCACAGTCCAGTATGAGTGCGACACGTGCGGCGACTGCTTTTCCGACTGGTCGGTTCAAAATGGTCATGCCCACTTGGACGACAGTCAAATTTGTCTGTATCGGCCCTTTACGACCTGCGATGTGCCTGTGATGGGAGCGACTTCTCAAGTCGCCATGCTCCACGTCCGCGCGAAATAGATCCATCCAGACATGTAAGTTGCTGCATGGCCGACTTGTTGACGGCATTTTTCCATAGGCTGTCCGATGAAGGATTGCGCGAAGTCGTTGCCGCCCCTCCACAATCCTCCATGGAGCACCTTGAACATGAGGGAGTGTCGGTGGCCCCCATGATCTTACCTCGCCCAACGACGAAGAACCAAGTCGACGATGGCAATGGGACATCGCCCCCTTCGACGTTGCAACAGCAAACGTGTCCGGCGCCTAGGTCCGCAGTCCCGAACCAACCTCAACAAAACCAGGTGGGTGCAGCACATGACGAGCGAGGTGCAGAAAATCATGCATGACATGCTGTTGTATTGTCGAACCGAGCTGTTGTCGAGTAGGGTTGTTCATGCGGCATCGCGTTGCAGCGGAACGCGTTGGCTGCGGAAAAGATAGCGTGGGAATGTGCAATGTGGAAGGAGCAAGCGGCGCTGGAACAGGCCGAAACGAAGCGGATGGAAGCGCTCGAGGCAGAGTGGGCACTTCGAGAAAAAGAGAGGATTCAAATGGTACGAGCCTCTCGTCAAGGTGTTGCAATTTGCCAGCATGAAAAGATGCCACTTACACCGTTGGAACAACCATGTTTTGCACGATTTTGAATGCGTATGGCTTGAGGCGACGTCGTGATATGGGTGCTGTGGTAGGTTCGAGAAGCCCAGCAAGAGTACGTGGCGTTGGAAAAGAAGCTGCGGCAGACGCTACATGACTTGGGCATGCGTGAGCGATCGTTGGCCAAGGCGGAGGAGGCGATTCAGCGAGTTGCAGCGTCGGCAAATGGAAGAGCGCGCCGTACGGATCATGCATCGTGGGAAGTTTTTTGTTGGATTGTACAACTCAAGGCGCTTGTCTGTTGTGTAGATCCGAGCCGAGTCGCAGCTGAATCAACTGGAAGCCGACCTTGTGGCACTGCGGGTCGAGCAGCGCAAGAGCCCTGAAAACGTCCTCAGCCAAGACATTATTCAGCATCAAGCGACGATTGCGACGCTGGTACGGCATCTCGTTTCGCGTGGAAGTGGTCGCTGTTTGGCGGCATGGAAACAGGGATAGGGGGAATCGTTTGACGCACTCCTAGGAGACACAACTTCCGGCTGGTCCAAGTCGAAAAGGACCAAGAGATTCAAGTGCAAAAGGAACTCGCGGTGCAGGTCGACCGCCTCACGCAGCTGCTGCACCAAGAAAAGCGCAAGCAGGACGAGCACAAGGCGCAGGACCTGGAGGCGTTGCGACTCTAGTACATTGCCCGAGAAGAGAGGTGTGTGTACTTGCCGACATGCCATCCTCACAAAAGATGCGACTTGCGGTAGGCATTGTTTTGGACGGCGACCGAGAAGAACTCCTGGCGGTCAAGAAGCAGTTGGATATGCTCCACCAAGTCCAATTCAGTCAAGACAAGGAGCTGGCGAGGCTGCAGCAGGAAAAGGTCGACCTCCTGGCGACAGGGCAGTACACAGAAGACAGCTTTCTCCTCCAAGCGCTCAATCGACTCATAGCAGCGAAGAAACCAAAGAGTTTTTACTGGCGTTCTGTCCACGGCGTGCCAATTCCACACACGATTGCCCTCGGCCTTCCTAGTTCGTTTACTGAACGTGAGAAGAGACTACACATGCCACGAGCGACTCCATCCACCTCGCGACTCCATGTCGGTGGCAAAGGCGTTGAGTTTGTCGACGGGTGCAGCGCCATGCATAATCCAGCAATGGTTGCATGCACATGGCACCACATGCCACGGAGAGTGAAGCAGGCTGCTCTTTGACTCAGTGCCGGCACCGAGTGGAGCGCGCCATGGTAATGTTGGGATGGCCATTCGGAGCGAGGGCGAACGGGCGACACCGGGGCCACGACTGGGGAAGCCATTTTCGA